TCTTTTTATCCTTATTACTTTTAATATTACCTAAAGCTCTATTTAAACTAAATAAATTTACTAAATATATTTATTAAATAAACCTATTAATATATAAATTACTACTCTAAGTTAGTAATTAATAAGTTAGAACTCTCTAAAAATGCCCATTAATAAGTCTACCCCTCTCGGGCTAGGCGCCCTCTTTAACTAGCTCGACGCTATAGCTATTATAACTAATATAAATATACCTAAGGATTAGTAAAGTACTTTTTAATAGTATAGAATTTAGCTAAGTAATAGTATAAACGTTATAAATAGCCGGGCTAATATAAATATTCTATCGAGATAGTGGGAGTATTTATTAATATTATATATTAATATTATATAAACGATATCGAGAATCGCCCGAGTAGCTAGTAAAGGTAGAATATTAAAAATAAATAAGTTAACGTATATTAAATACTAATAATAAAAAGGTTAGTGCTAACTGTTCTTAGTAATAATAATAATAGTATTTTTAATACTACTATTATAAGTTATTATTACTTAAAAGGCCGTAAACTTAGCTAAGTAAACGGTTTATAAAGTAGTAATATTAAGTACTTAATATTATTATTAATACTCTATAATTACAAACTTTATAAGAGGGAAAGTTTAAAAAGATAGAAGAATATTTAAAAAAAGATACTTTAACGAGATAGTAAGAATATTTATTAATATTATATATTAATACTATTTAACCGATATTAAGAATTGCCTAAGTAGCTAGTAAAAGTAAAAAAATAAATAAAAAGAAATATAGTTAATTAAGTAACGGCTAATTACGGCCTTTATTTTTAATTATTATAGCTTATTATTACGGCTAGCTAGTTATAATAAGTATATTAGCAGAAGTTAAGGCTACGAGTACTAAGTAAATAGTATTATAATTATAAATAGCTTTTTTAAAACTATATTTATAAGTTATAAAATAAGTAAGGCTTTAGTAATTAATTATAGTTTTATTAAAAAGGGTTTTTAATAAAAATAGTTAAAAATAATTATAAGATTTAATATTAAGTTAATTATTAAAGAAGCTATAGAAGTCTATCTTTAAGCTTAGCTTACGTTTATACTATATATAAGTTTATTTATAAATATATTTTTTATTATAATTATTTTTATTTATTTAAGTAATTACTTAGTAAATATTAATAAGCGCTTATTTAAAGTAATTATAATAATTATTCTATTACGTAATTACTATTTTTTATTTATATATAACTTATTTATAGTTCTTTTATTCTATAAGAGTTACCCTATATTCTATATTTTTATATATATAATATATTATAGCCGTTATAAGCTTATAGGGCGGGCCCTAGTTTTAGTTATATATATTAAGTCGTAATATTAGGTCTCTTTTTTAGAAGTCTTATTTTTATAAACTTATAAATAAGTCGTTATGGCCTAAGTTAGGGCTTATTAAGTGATTTTTCTAAAAATACTAAGATATTTCTTAAATTTTTAATATATTATTAACTAAAGCTTATTTTTGAAATTAAGGAGCGAGGATTTAAAATCGTAATACCTTACTTATTTTATTATTTATTAGGGCGAAGATATAAAATATTAAAAAGTAAATTAAGGTATTATAAATATATACGTCGTAGTCGTTCTCATAACGTAACTACTAGTACTATATATAATCGTAAGTTTTTTTTTTCTTATTAGTATTTTTTTTATATTAATTATATTTATAATAAATCGTTTTTTATTTAAAACTAATAAGTTAGAACATAAAGAGGAAATAGAGGAGCTTTTTTTTAAAAAAATAGGTAAAAGCTTTACGTTATATATAAATTAAATTAAATTAGTCTTTATTAAAATTAAATTATTTTTTTTTAAAAAAAAGATATTATTTAAAAGGGGGAAAGCGATTCTTAATCCTCTTAATATTATTAACGAGAATAAGTTAGCTACTATATAAAAAGCGTAATTTAGTAATATTTTTAGAGTAATTAATTAGGATATTATAATAACTAAGAGTTCTAGTTTTAATTTTAACTTTAGTATTTTAAAAAGGATTCCTAAGAGTTCTAAAAGTTTATAATAAGTTTTTATATATTTTTTTTATATTTATAACCCTTCTATTTAATAAAGAATTCTTATGTTTTATTTTTAATTCTATAGTTAATAATATATTTAATTTTATATTTTAGTTAATTTAGTTTAATAATAATATAATCTTTTGTATATGATTCTTTTAGTATAAGTTCGAGTAATAAGATATAAAAGACGGGATAGTATTATATCGTATTTAGTAATCTTAGTTCGTAATTAATTAATAAGACTTTTTTAATAATTTCGAAAGGTTTGAGTTTTTTATAATTTAATTTATTACTTAGTTATTTTATTTTAACATTATAATAAAAGAGATAAGTACTATCCCCTTTTTTTAAAAATAATCCTTTAATTTTTAATTTATCCGCGTTTTTCTTTATATATTATTATACGAACCCGAGGTCTATTAATACTTATTTATAGATTTCTTTAAGTTTATTTACGTTTATTATAGTTTTTATAGCTTATAATCCTTATTATACTTCTCTATATACTATTAACTAAAATCCATAATTAAAGTAAAACGGAGATTTTTTTATATTTTTATTAATTATATTATTATATACGAACTAGGCTATTAATAGAAATATTACTTAATTATCCTAGTCATAGTTTATATAATAATAAAAATATATTTTAAAGATCTAGTTAATTCTTTTTATTTATTTATCGGGTTATAGATAAAATAATATTAATAGTTTATAGTCTATACTAAGTTACGAAATTAGAGATTTTTAAAATTTCGAAATAAATAGCTTATTTTTATTAAAAATGATTTCTTTTAATAAACCGTAGTTTAAGAATATAACTTTAGTAAATACGTATACTAGGTTTTTTATAGTACTAAATTCTTTATAAAGAATAAAGTAAGTAAACTTAGTAAGTTAGTTAACTATAACTAAAATACTATTATACTATACTTTAGTAAATAGTTCTCTAGACTTTAGTAATTTAATAATAAAGTCTTATATAATTAATTATTATATTTTTATTAGTAGTTATAGTAATTATAGCTCGTTATAAAGTTTATATAAGCTATTCTTACTTTTTTTATAAGTTGTATAATCCTTAATTACTTTTATAATTTTAGTATATATAGTAGATTTATTATAATACTAACGAATCCGTTTTTACGTTTTAATAATTTCTTAATAACCGTATACTAATATATTATAAATTTTTATAATAAGCTTAGGGGTTATTTTTATAATTAGGCTAGTACTAATCTTTTTAGTTATTATAAAGAGTTTTATAATTAATACAAAGCTACTATTTTTCTTTTATTTAAGAATAATTTATGTTTTTTTAGGGACTGCGATTTTATAGTTAGGTCTTTTATTAAGAGCGTTTATCTTATTATTTTCTAAACCTTTTTAATAAATATTTTAGAAATTAAATTTAAATAGAAATTCGCTCTATTTAACTTATTATTTATTTAGGTTCTTATTTGTTATATTTATTTTAATATTCTACTTTTACTAGCTACTCGGGCGATTTTCGATATCGATTATATAATATTAATATACGGTATTAGTAAATACTTATACTATCTTACTAAACTATTTTTTTTTAATTTTTTAACTTTTTAACTCTCCCTCTTATAAAGTTTATAACTACGGATTATTAATAGTAATATTAAGTACCTAATATTACTACTTTATAAGCTTATTACGTATCTAGCTAAGTTAGCTACTTTTCTAAGTAATAATAGCTTATAATAATAGTATTAGAAATACCCTCGTTACTATCGTTAAGAATAATCCCGACCTTACGATATCTACCCTAGTACTCTTAACTTTACTTATATATATATATATATTTATTACCTCGTTTCTTTTATTAAAGTTAAAAACGCTTCCCTTGCTATTACTATCGTTATTACTATTTAACTATCTACTTTAAGTATACTTTATTAAAATACTAAGACGTTATTAATAACCTATCGACCCTTAGGGCTTTTTTAAAAACTAGAAGTTCGATCTTATAAATATTATACTAAACGACCCCGAGCTATAAAAAGACTACTTTAATAAATATTATATTAATAATATTAATTTATAAAAAATAAATAAATATATTATAATAAGCGTCGCCCTTATTAGCGCCCTTTTAATATAATAAAAAAATATAAATAAGCTTAGACTTAATAATATAATTAATAACTTAAAAAGAGCGTAAGTAAGCGTATTAAATAAGAATATTAATAAAAAGAGGTTATTATTAAATAAGATAAAAAGAGAAAATAAGGGGTAATATTTAGTTATTAAGAAAGTAATTAATATATTATAGTAGCGGGGTTATTAATATCTTAAGTTTAGTTAGTATTAATAATTAATAACGGCTATAGCCGGCTATAGTTAGTTATAAAGTCTTATTAAAATACGTAATAAAAACTCAATATTAACCCTAATAAACTAGCTTACCCGTGAAGGCGAAGATAGCCCCTAATAAGGCAGACCGGACCCCAAAGGGGTTCTTATTTATTATAAAGTTTATAAAGTTCTTATAGTTTATATAAATTATAATTTCGTACTTAGTTCTAAATAACTATAGCCTCTATTTTTAAAATACTTCGATAATAATTATTAGTTCTTTATTATAGATTTATTAATTTAATTTTGTTTTATAGAATATTTTAGAGTAGAAGTAATATAAATAGAGCTTTTTTTTACTTATTTCGTTATCTTAGGACCGTTTTTATAATAAATTTAAAGTATTAATCTTAATTTTAAAAGGTTTTTAAGGGTCTAGGATTATAGTAATTAGTTTAGAGACGACTATATTTTTAATTTTAATAAATACTTTTTTATACTTAGGATCCTAAATAAATAGGGTATTTTTTTATATTAGGTTATTAAAAAGTTTAATTATATTAATATAGTTTTTAAGGAATTATTAATAAAAATTAACGAATCCTAAAAATCCTTATACGTCCTTAATGTTTTATAATATAAGCTAGTCCCTAACTACTTTTATTTTTAATATTTATATATAGATTTATCTTAGTATAATAATATATTTAAAGAAGTTTATTTTTTTTATATAAAACTTATATTTAGAAGGTTTGGTAAATAGCTTAGCGTTTTAAAGCTTTTAGAATATTATATAAATATACTTTTTATATATCTTAAAATTAGGAAAGAAAATAAGAATATTATTAATATAAATAATAATAAAGATATTAATATACTCCTAGAGTACGTAATTAATTATTATTTAAAAAGTTATTAGAGCGTTAGTAAGTCTAAAGGGTATAATAAAGTACTTAAAGAGTTCTTTATAAGTTTAGAATACCGTTTTTTATTTATCTTTTTTTTTTAATCCGAATTTAGTTAAATACTTTTTTAAGATTTATAATAATAAACTAATTAGTTTTATAAAATAGATTTCTAAGCTTAGTAATAAGTAGTAAGGGATAGTAATTTTTTTTTACAATTTTATTAAGTTTTTTATAGTTAATAACTAGTTTTCGTTTCTTTACTCCTTTTTTTAATATAAGAAATAAAAGTAATTTTATAAGAGAATTCGATAGTTAAATAAGTCCTTTTTTAAGTTTCTTATTAATATACTTATTAAGATATTCTTATTCTTTTTAATTTATTAAATATATTAAAAAGAACCTAGGTTACGTTCCTTTTTTAAGTTCGATTTTTATATTCTAGTTACTATATTCTAATAATCCTATTTCTTTAGGTTTTATAAATAGTTCTATATATATTTAGTATTTTTTAAGTATAGTTTAAAGTCGTTACGATCTCTGATTATTAATATTAATTATAAACTTCTTAAAGCTTTTTATTATCTTAATAAAAGCTATATATTATATTTATTCTTATTTTTTAAAAGTTATTAAAAATCCGTTTAAACCCTTTTTTTTTATGTTATTTAATAACTAGATTTTCTTAGAGGACCTAGTTAGTAATCTAATTTATTTATAAATTATGCTTTTATAACTATAAAATTCCTAGGATGATATTAATATTTTCGATTTTTATAATATTGTATTATAATTATTCTTACTAATTATTAATATATATTAAGAAGTATACGGTCTTTTAATTAATATATTTATAATTATATTTAATTCGTTCTTTTTTTATTATTTATAATTAATATAGGTTATCTTTTTATATTTATGATAGATTAAGTTTATTTACTATTCTTAGTAAAATATAGGTTTTTTATATACTATTATTAATAATAATATTTAATCCTCGTCCGTAAATATTAAAGTTAATTTATAAACATACGTCGTTACGTTATCTAATTATATATAAGAACTTTTTTTTTATTTTTAATTTTTATCGTTTTTTTATAATTAGCTTTTTTAGTCTTTTATTATATACTTTTTTTATTAAGTACCTTATTTATATAGTTCTTATTATTCTCTCTAGGCCTTAGCTTTTCTAATATAATAAACTTAATATTAGTTATATTTATAGTTTTCTTATTCTATATATTTATTATTAAAGTACTTTATAAAAAAGCTAGGGTTTGGGCTAAATATTACTTTATTATTATTATTAAAGCTTAGTAATATCTAACTAAGTAGTTAGTTTTTTATATAAATATCCTTAATAAGCTTATTATCGTATTTTTATAAGTAGAAGTAACTATTTTATTTATATATAAAGTACTAAAAGTATTTATAATTTAAGTATTTTATTTAAAATAATTTCTTATAAAAGGGGTTTTTAGGGTCGAGTAAAGAGTAGTTTTTATTTATATAAGGGGTTATTATAACCTTTTTACGTTCTTTAGTTTTATAAAACTAAACGGTTTAGTTATTTTTAAATAAATAAATATATCTATACTATAGTTCGTTATTATCCTTTTTAAAGCTAATATTATTAATACTAAGTAGTATTTTATAATCGATCTCTATTTAAATATGTTATTAAGTAATATTATAAAGTTCGTTCGAATTATAAAATAATTCTATTTTATTAAAATAAAAAGAACTAGTTCTTACTTTAATATTTTCTTTTTTAAAATTAAAATTTTTTTTTATAACTCTAGAATTAAGAATTAGTTTTTTAAATACTTTAATCTTATTTTTATATAAGAGGTTTTTAAGCTACTTTTTAACTTTACGAATAAATTTTCTATTACTATTTATTTTCTATATTATATAAATAGACTTAGTTAGGATTTTATTTAAATTAAGTCCTTTTTTAGACTTAGTAAATTATTTTTAGTTTATATAGTTTCGTTATATTATATAAATAAGGCTACTTATAATTGTTTTAGTATCGGGTCCTTTTTTTAAAAATTTAAGGAGTTATTCTTTTATATTAGCTAAGAGTTTTTACTTAATTTGTTTTTTAAAAAAGTAAAATATATTTTTTATAACGGGGTCTATTTTAGCTTTTTTTTTCATATTTTTATAAATCTAAGAGAGCGTAGTAATATATTTAATATTTTTTTTTTAAGAGTATAGGGTTAGTAAGTAGATATATTTTTTTTATTATTATTACTAAGGTCTTAATAAATAGTATAATATTATATCTAGATTATCCCTTATTTTTAGGTCGCTTTAGGTACTATCCTATTTATTTTTTACTATCTTAATAAGTAAGATAATTATTATTATAATAAGCCGTTTATAAGAGTTACTTATAAGGGACTTCTTTATTTATAATATTAGCTCGCTTTTTTAAAATAGGTTAATATTAAATATACTTAGGTTATTAATAATTTTTAGTTATATATCTTATTTTATTATAATTATAATACTTAAAGTCCTTTTTTTTAGCGAGGTTATTCTTTTTTAATAATACTAAGATTTATTAGTCCGCTATAATACTTTATTATAGTAGTCGTTAGTTTATACTTACGTTTATTATTAAGTTTAGCTCGGTTATTCTAAGTATTCTATTTTTTTTATTTAAAACGTCGTTTATAAAGTTAGTTATTGATCTTAACTATTATATTAATATAATTATAAAGCTTATTTAGTTGTTTATTAAGAGAGGTTATTTTTAACTTTTTTTTAAGCTATAATAAAAGGCTATTATAAGCGTATTATTACCCTAATCGAGCTTAAAAGTAATCTATTTAAATTTAGATATATACTTACTAACTAACCCTTTTTATATAAGGGTTATATAGTAGTTTTTTTTCCGGCTTTATAGGCACAAAAGATCGACCTTAATAGAATTACGCTTTTAAAAGAAATTATATAATACGGTATACTTTTTAACTATATAATACGTATAATATACCCTAAGTACGTACTTAATATAATATAGTAATTTCGATATAAAAACCGCTATATAATTTAGGATAAGTAAGCTACCCTTTATATAATAATACTAGTTAAAAAAGTTAATAATAAAAATTAGCTATAATAATTAGTTATAATAGTCGGCCGTAATAGTTAAAAGCGGCCCTTAATTATAGAAGTTCTAAATTTTAATAGTAACGTAGAGGTTTTTTAAAAAAAAAGGGCTAAATAGGCTAATATTTATTACTTAGAGCTTATAAAAATTCTTTTTATTTTTATCGCTTCTAATATTACTTAAAACTACTCTCTATTTAAACTAAATAAATGTACTAAATAAATCTATTCAATAAACTTATTAATATATAAACTACTATTTTAAAAATACTTATTAATAAGTCTACCCCTCTTAGGCTAGGCGCCCTCTTTAATTAGCTCGACGCTATAATTATTATAACTAATATAAATACGCCCGAGAATTAGTAAAGTACTTTTTAATAATACGGAATTTAGCTAAGTAATAATATAAATATTATAAATAGCCGGGTTAATATAAATATTAAGATTTAATATATTAATATTAATTTAAAAATTATATTTTATAAAACTAAAAATCCTTTTAATATAAGCTATATTATAAATATAAAAAAATATATAAAAGGCCCCATAATTTTTAATAAAAAAGAATATATAATATAAGATCTAGTTATTTACGTAAGTTAGTATTAAAAGGTCTTATATATATTAAAATAGGTATAGCTCGTTTTTTAAATAGCTAAAACTTAGAGGACTTTATATAGGAAAAAGTTAGGAGCTATTTTAATTAATAGTTAAGTATAGAGCGTAATATACTTAGTTTTTTTAATACGTAATATACGGTACGGCCCCGGCGGATTACTCTATTAGGGGGTTATATAAGGGTTATAAGTTTTTATTTAGTAATTCGTTTTTTATCGGGGTTATTAAAAGTCTTTTTAAGTTTTCTTTTAAACTTATTATAATTATTAAAAATCTTCTTAGTATTTTTATTTTAGATATTACGTTCGTTTTTAAAATAGTTTTTTATTAAAGGTTTAAACTAAATAAGGGTATTTATTTTAAAAAATAAAGCTACGTAATAAACCTTATCGGTTTTAATAATAAAAAAGGTCTTATAATAGTATAAATAGGCCCTAGCTTAAATAAAAAACCTTTAAAAAATATCTGGGGACCTATTATAAGGTTCTGGTTTAGGGTACTTAGCTCTAAGTACTAAAGGAGGTTAGGGTATTATAAGCTAAGTATAAAGTTACTTATACCGTTAATAATCCGTAGTTATGAACTTTATAAAAAGGAAAGTTAAAAAAGTAAAAAGTCTATAAAAAAATACTTTATTAAGATAGTAGGAGTATTTATTAATACTATATATTAATACTATATAAAGGATATTAAGAATCGCCCGAGTAGTTAGTAAAAGCAAAATACTAAAATAAATAAAGTTACTTATTCTCGTTTTTAAGTTTAAATATTATATTATATAGTTATTAAATAGTAAGTATAACTACTTTAATAGGCTATGCTATATTATTATTATTAATAATTAATATATTCGTATTATGATCCGTGGTTGTGAACTTTGCAGGAGGGAAAGTTAAAAAGTTAGAAAATCTAAAAAAATAGTCTAGCGAGATAGTGTGAGTATTTACTGATACCGTGTATTAATACCGTGTAAACGATATTGAGAATCGCCCGAGCAGCTAGTAAAGGTAGAAATAAAAAAACAAATATTCGTATTATTTAGTTAGTTTTTTATAAAATAAACTTATTAAATAGGAGTAATTAAAGTATTATAACTAGCTAGTTATAGTAAATATATTAATAAAAGTTAAGGTTATAAGTACTAAGTAAATAATATTATAATTATAAATAGTTTTTTTAAAGCTATATTTATAAATTATAAAGTAAGTAAGGCTTTAATAATTAATTATAGTTTTATTAAAAAGAGTTTTTAATAAAAATAGTTAAAAGCGATCGTAAGATTTAATACTAACTTAATTATTAAAAAAGTTATAAAAGTCTATCCTTAAGCTCGGCTTAAGTTTATACTATATATAAGTTTATTTATAAATATATTTTTTATTATAATTACTTTTATTTATTTAGGTAATTACTTAATAAATATTAATAAGCGCTTATTTAGAGTAATTATAGTAATTACCTTATTATATAATTATTATTTCTTATTTATATATAACTTATTTATAGTTTTTTTATTTTATAAGAGTTACTTTATATTCTATACTTTTATATATATAGTATATTATAACTATTATAAGCCTACGGGGCGGGCCCTAGTTTTAGTTATATATATTAAGTCGTAATACTTATTTAACTTATAGTTAGAACTTCTTTTTTATACTTATATAAAAATTTATATAATTTAATTAATCTCTTTATTAACTTACAGTTCGAACTAATTATTTTATAATAAGGATACTAATAAATATTTTATAAAGTTTCATAATAGCTACTCTTACTTTTTTTCTTAAAATAAGCTTAAATTAATAATATTATATAATTAAGTTAATATAAAGAACTTAATTAAAATAACTTATTCTTAGTATTATATTACTAATTTAATTTATAATACTTATAATAAGAAGTAATTAATAAGAAAGTTATTTAGATTGAGTAGCTCGTAACGAAGTTGAACTACTGTGTAGGGCCGATTGGTCTCTTAATTAATATATATTTATAGACCTTTCTACTTTATACTATAGTAAAAGTTCTGCTGCGCGATTCGCGCCGATGGGTGAGCTCGCCGCGCTTAGTAAGGTGGCTTGAGCCCGCCGTGGCCAATTTGACAGTTGGAATCCGACCACACTGTCTTATGACGATTGTTCACCCCCTTCAACCGTGGTACTACGAGCACATTTCATCACCAATGTATTCCGTTTTTGACTCCAATCCGATACGGATAACCATTGTAGACGTTTCAAGGCAGCAAGCAAAAGCAGATGGATTGTAACTCATACGGGTCAAATCTTGACGCGTGTGGGATGCTATTCTCAGGCAGCCAGCTCCTTGCAGGTTGCCGCTACCATTGGTTTGCGCGTTCATTGAAGCCTCGGCATCACAGACAGCATTGAGGCACCGGTATGCCGGACTTGAGATTCTGAAGGAAACAAAAATGCTGCAAAACATGTCGCATTGGTTGTTGGGTAATTTGAAGTGCTGCAATAAACTAATCAGACGTGCAGGTCCGTTTTTCAACCCAAGGCCAGTCTATCTGGCTGGACATTCCGCTCGACATCATCTACTGTAGAAGAGAGAAATATCCCCTTCATGAGCCGCCCCAGAGCTCGCGACGGAGCATTTTCTCAAGCGCCGCCTTCCAGACGCTAATTCGCAACACAGCCCCATACAAGTTATGGCCAGGTCTCTCAGTATCTAGACCGGCGGAGATTGGGTCTGACACAGGGCGCCGTAGAACGTATGAGACAGACTCGCGCTGGGTAGTATTTGTCGCAAAGCCAGTACCTTGCTTGTGCGTCGGCTGTCGGGTCAAGATAGATGCAAAAGTCGATTTGTCCGTGCGGTATACCTCCAGGCACGTAGTCCTTGGTGATAGGAGCAGTGGTACTGACAGAGCGAGAGAAGTTAGACATGGAGTACATTGGATGCCCAAAGGGTCATGACGGGAGGTTACCTTGAGCTGCATCTGAGACGAACACGCTGTCGTTCAGATCAAGCTCCTGCCTCAAGGCCTCGAACTGAGAGAGATTCCGGGCTGGTGGGATGGCCAGAGAATCATCGCTTGATAGTGCTCTCGTTTCCCAGTGGAAGCTTCACAAGTTTTATTTGCGCAAACGACATTTTTCTTCCGGCCACCGACTTGGAGCATTCAATCATGGTGCCCGAGCGATAGCTCATGGTATCGGAGCTGTCGACCATGGTTTCAGTGCGATCACACATAGTAAATGACTTTGCCGGTGAGGATTTTAGAGAGTTTTGAGGAGGTTAGGGATTCGAGGCGCAGTCGCAGTCATAGTCGCAGTCGAAGTTGTGAGCACAGGCGCCGGGGAGCGTCTGTATCCAAGAAGCGATTGACTCCCACATGATTGTCGACAGTATGACAGTATGCGCGTCGATTGGGTTGAGGTTTAGCCGATGCGATTGATTTGATGATGTAGACGGATGGACTGGGGGCCGTTGGCTGAGTAACAAGGGAGTCGCGGGCACGGCGGGATACCTATCTTACTACCTAGGTAAGATACCTAGGCACAAGGAACGTACCTTACCTACCGCTGCGCAGACCCTCAAAGACTAGTGGAGGAGGGGCGCACGGCAGAGGTCGTTCTTTCTGCTGGCTGAATTCGCTTAGAAGATCGCTTAATTGGGTAGTAGCCCAAGATAGATACCACCCCGTGTTCACAATGCAGTATTGATATTGACTTAACGGCAAGTGCGCCCCTTCCTCTCATATCTTAGCCCGCTATGCTAGCAGGGCGGATTTCCTTGAATACCTTAGACCGGAAATTCCAGTAGGTAGAGATCTCAAAGCCCGAGGGATTCGGGGCATTATCAAGAACAGTCAACGAGGGGAAAAGGGGCACCTTGGCATATAGAGCGTCCGCCTTCAAGACGAAGGGTCACTCAACCAGCGGACTGGTCCCCTACGGACATACCCCCCTTAAGCAGCATTGAAAAGGACCTCTGTTGAGAGCGCCCCCCTCCCGTGTAGGTACCTGCTAAGGTGTTAGGAGCAGTAAAGTGGTTAAGCTCTGCTGCTTGTCTCATCAATAGACAACGAATGATTACCTGATGTCGCCCGCTATGTCGCCAAATTCTTAGATTCGCCTTTGCCTGGAGCCCGTCCGAGCAAGGACCAAACCAAATATGAACGGCGGCAATGAGTGAGCGGGGGTGTCTTTGAATTTTCGGGTTGGCAGTGCATCGGATAAGCATTCTTATCCCTAAGGTATCTCATCAAACTGCCTAGGTGGAAGTTTGGAGCACCTTACAAAAGCACCTCGCCCAAGGCCGCGCAGGCAGCCCAAGGTGCCTAGAATGGTCAGCTTGCCCGGACACCGTCGGGCAAGGTTATCAGTACCTTAGCCATCTTATCTAAGCTCGCGATTCCTCAAGGTACAGAAGGAACTTACCCCGGGTCAGGTAAGTCAGCCTAAGTACCTAGGTCCAAGATCCCAAGTAAAGTACGCCGACACTAACCAGCGACTAAATTGACAATCCCACTTCAACTCTATCATCCGATTCCCACAATCGAGGAGAAGAGAGAAAGCGCACCGGGCATCTCATTCAGCGACATGTTTCTACATCTCTCGTCAAGCTCATTCATCATATACCTAAACAACAACCCGACCATACGCACCACGAGTGCATCTATCAGACCCGCCGCATTTCCTGAGGACACAGCACGAGAACCGGCTCCTGCTTGGCACGTTCTCGTGTGGTGACTGATTGGACAAGAGGCACAAAGGCTCGCATGAATGACCGGTAATCCCTCCATTACGACAGTCTAGCTCTCGCTCTATCTCACCCGCATCTCAGTCTACCTAAGCAATCAATGCAGACGTATTCTCCATGACATGAACGATGTTCCAAGGTTGCCCGACCCAAAGCCATAACGGCATTGCCTCAAATTCCATCTATGACAACGTCTATAAAGTCCTAGAGCAGCGGCAGGCCTTCCTCCGCCAAGCGCATAATGACTTGACGCCCTGATTGTCAACTTGCGGCGATCGACGTTTGTGGCGGGATGAAATATCGCTGAAAGGTAGGCCAGGATACCATACGTGCCTATCGCGCCAGGTCGCACGATGGAGCAGACGCCGATGGCTTTCTCGGTTGTGCCCAACTCTTGGCTCACCTAAGATATCTGCCGCAAATTAGCTCACATGTGTCTAACCAAGTCATAACACGGCCCGAGACGTAACACACCGTTTCGGTATCATTGCGAGTGCTGGCTACGAGATATCACTTGTGACCCTCGGCTGTGACGCCGGGTATGAAGTCTGGCAGAGGCCGGGGGGGCTTCGTTGTGATTGGCAAGCCGTTGAGGATAACCCACTAAGCATCTGGCCGGATCAAAAGTTATGTCTTGGCATCGATGAGCTCTTCGTCGGGACCCTTGGTCTCGATGCTCAGTCGACGGGTCTTCGGCACAAGGGCTGGTAGCCGGTGTGATTGACTGAGAGACAGGTCATCCTAATACCGGAGTTCCTGGATCGCGCTCGCGTATGGCGCCTCGGGGTTGATGAGCATGTAATAGTCGATCTTGCGGGAGAATCCTCCGGTGTCAACATAGTAATCGATGATCTTAGCAGTCGGGCCGTTTTGCATTAGTCGGGATGGACAGAAACTCGTGTCACTGGGCCCCCTGTTGTTGGCAGAAGTGCCCGTCCCAAGATGTACTCACCACAGTACGTATGACACTATTACCTCGGACCCTCGACATGGCAATGGCACCGCCAGCCGCAACACTTCGCCGTAGATGACTTGATTCCACGAAGCTTCGTAATAGCCCACATCGGAATAAAACCTGGAATTCTCCAGTATATTCATAATTTGCTCAATAGACGGCGAATCCCCAATATCGTCTCGGGCCGGGGCGTCATCGTAGTACCACCTCTTGACTATTTGTCCTTTGAGTAATAACTCCGTGGCAGCAGCAACGTCGGCCTGCGGCGAAGCAGTCAGCAATCAGTAAGGTCTCGCGAAAGGTTGCTCTGGGATGAAAGAGTCAAACCTTGTTCCTCACGGATATCACGTTGGTACCCTTTGGTAAACCTTGCGAGTGTCCCCCACACGTCATGCAACGAAGAGGGAACGCTCTCTTCATTGGGCCAAGATTGGTGAATCGCGATAGGCGCCATCTATACTGCCTATCGGCAAGTTACTTTCTGGGCGAGGCACGCGACGGACTGGCACCGCTTCGGGTGGAAGATGCACGGTTGAGAAGGCCGGGCCGAGTATCTGACCGGTGGGACTTGGCGGGACGTGGCGTCAGTTCATGTAGGTTGACGGGCAATCTATCTGATGACGTCGAAGAAGCGCTCGCTTGCTGTCTTTTCAGAGGCGAAGCCGTCTTGTCGGACGAAGTGGGTGTCAAAGGAGACGACGTTTGCGATCACAGGATGCGCGATCATATGGGAGGGTTTTGTGGACGCTTGGCTTGGGGAGACGCCGGAAATGATGCGATAACGATAGTCGGTAGTAAATACAGTCTGGGTCGGGGTGACAACTCTCGTGACGTCGGATGGGTTGACGGTAGCTGGCTGTGGAGCGGATTGATCGGGAACCTCTACATATGTGCTAGGATCGGATTTCTTGGACGGAATCGCTACTTCGAAGCGGAAGTTGTTTCCATGATGAGTTTCTGCACTCGCTGACGGACGCTTCGGCGGCGGGACGGAACATCGAAAAATACTGATAATGGATGAAAGTAAATTCTTTGTGAGTCACAAGTACGAGAAAACAGTTTTAATGATGCCATTGTTGATTGTGCCACAAACGACGACAAGCGACATCGTATAGGAGGAGTGAAGTGGGGTGGGTTGCGGGATGGCAAACCTATCTTAGTGACAATTATTTACTTACCTTCGAAGACGGCAGTGGTCGCGCGGGGTAGCTGACGCCACGAAGCGCGTCACCACTGCCGATGTCGTGCCGCTGGAGGCAGCTGGATCCATTGCTCAACGCGATATCACGTGATGGAACTTGGAGAGTCGCGTCCGGAAGGTCATAGAAGTAGCTTACCTAATTATCCCGTATGCCTGTCAGTCGTCGGGCAACCCTCGGCCCGAAGGGCGACGACTGGAATATCTGCTGGTGCAGTGACTCTAAATGCTGAAGCGGTTGTAGAGTCTTCTTTGTGAATGGTTTCGTGCCGCGATATTAGATCACTTGCGTCAATTGGCCATGTCACGAGTCTGGCTCTTGAAGGGCCTGTGAGGGAATAGTCAACGACCGGTGGTCTTGCGGCGGCACCGTTGATCGTGTTTTCAGCAAGCAATGATGCTAACATTGAATTCATCGTCTCCAGAGAGCTCACCGCAGTTGGCTGTTGAACAATGGTAATGAATGACCACATGATGATCGCCTCGTGAGGTTGTCATGTATATCAGAATTTGGAGCCTGGAAAAGTCTGAATTGCTCAAGATGTCCCTCATGTGCCTACATACAAGAATGAGTAGCTCCTTTCAGAGCATTCGAAATGACGGTAAACCTGGATGCTGCCCCTAGAGTTCATCTGGGCCCCGGAAACCTATCCCCTAGATTCCTCGAGTAGCATGCGAGCACTGTCTCTTGGTCGCAAATATTCTCTTGCTCGAGACCTAATTGAGGCCAATGGACCGCCCCGGGGATGCTTCCTTTGTTAAATTGGTACTGGACTTCGTAGTAGCTATTCCACACATCGTCGACTTGTCCTGTCTGCCTGTTGACTAGAGCTACTCAAGCCGTAAGAGCGCTCATTATCGCTATCTTATGACATTGATCGACAGGCCTAATGATGATCTCCTGATCTACCCCACAATGCAATTTGAGAATGTCTAACCCGAGCCCGTTGTAGAGCCTGTTTGTCGTCAGAGTGGCGAATTGCTTTGTCATGCACTAGAATAAGCCTAGATGACAGCATGGACATCGCGGTGTCTTTACTTGTCACAACCCGCCAAAAATCGAACGAAGATCAACTGGCATCGCTTGAGTCTGTGAGTTGCCAATGGGCTACACTTCTGGTCGCCCTGTTGCATCTCATTACCATGTAGTAACCATTACTTTACTGCATCATCTGCCGGATTCTCTGGATGAAGAAGTACAACTTCCACTGTGCAGGTTTTCCCAGTTGCTTTCTAACTAAGCAGAACCTACTTCTCGTCGCAGGACTTGACGTCTGAACAGTAGTTCTGTTGACAACAAGCAGCAACCGAAAGTGGTATCGTTGAGAAGCAGAGTTAAGAAGCAATACTTCAAGCTTCATCAGCTCCTGGACTGATCTCGAGGGTCAACTCCTCACCAAACGGCATGGTATTTGCGCTGAGAACAGCGATCTGATTGCTTGCTCGTTTAAGAGCCCACAGCAGGTAATGTAGGTTTGATACTTATAACCCTATTGCCCAAATTCCCCAGAAATCGACGAATCTAGAGTACATGAGAAAGAGCTTTTTATCGGTTTGACCACGCCCCAAACTCGTGTGTCTCTCTTTAGGCCGAAGCCTGAGAGGCGTATACGGTCGCGGGCTACTTACTGCTTGTAGTATGCTGCCATCTTAACACGCGGATGACTTAAATCTTGCCTGTCAAAGCGGTAGAACGAGGTGACTTACCGCCGAGCTGGCTGTAGGAGGCAACTTGCCGCCGAACTGACTGGAGGTGAAAGTGACTGGAGGTGGTTGAAGTGCCGTCGATGTGGCTGGAGAAAGCAGTCAAATGGAAGCGCCGGCCGTGCCGACGGAAATTCTAGCATTTTCCCGTTTGTCGAGCCACTTGCCGTATTCCTTGTTTGTTACGTTTGTCGAGAAGCCACGAAGACGGGGAAGAATCGAAGATCTGAGCTGACCACAAGCACGTAGCAATTGAATGATATCCGCAGTCGGCAGGACATTCGTTCAACCCCGTGCGGTTGCCCCAGAATAGATCTGGAATCTGGTATGGTGGAAGTTGGAGACCAGAGCGGTTGCTGGCTGTTTGATCTCGACGGTGAGTTAAAAGGGTAAGATCCTTCCGCTGCGAGTTTCTGGCGGAAGAAAGTCGAATGAGATGTATTGGAACGCCGTTCAAGCCGCCAGCGGCCTGAGGTCTGGTGAGCTGAGGGACTTGTTGAAGGAGCTCTTGCCGCAGGGTATTCCGGCAGAAAGAAGCTTGTCGAAGTGACTCTTTTGCAGTAGACTTTTGGCGGAAGGAGGTCGTACGGCGTACTGAACTGCCGTCTTCTCAATGGCTAGCGCTCGGTCTGACGGTCGATCTGGCAGGATGAGACGTTGTTGAATGGAGCTTTCCGTGATGGCCAGCGGTCTGGCAGCTGTGGGTTTGTCAAAGTCACCCTTCCGCGGTGAATTTCTGGCGGAGATCTGCGTGGTGGAACGCTCTCTGAAGGTGCCATTCCCATTACCTTCATTACTGGCGCAATTCGCCATAATGGTAGTCTTTCCGAGACCCTCAACGATGACAGCCTCGGGGTCTCTTGAATTGGAGTCCCCGACTTGAAGGACAAAGCTGCGGTGACCCGGCATAGTTCGCGATGAGTGAAGGGTTGCTTTAGTCGTCAGGTGTATGGGTGGATATCGTTGTCTTTCTCTGCTCTGGCTATCCTGATAGAATAGTTTGGACGCTCGAGGCCTTGCACGGGCCATTCATAGAAGGTCCAAATATCATTGCATGCCCGTGGAATAAGAGTTTTGGCTGTCAATAAGCTGGCACTGATCAAGTATAGAATCTTGTATCAGTTTATTAGGTCGCTGATGAGGTGATAGACTGGCGCATTCTTCGACTCGAAGTCGCTGAGTCTATTGGTTCTGATAGTGCTGGACCAAAACTTGTGCGACGCGACAGTGTTGCTGGGGGCGTTATGTACTATTGTGAAGGAAGCAAGGACAGAGCTCAGTCGGGTGGAAGAACGACTGGAAAAATATCGGCTGCTGCTGGAGCAACAGACTCGTGTGTTGTCTGAGCGAATTGATGTCTTGACCCGGACGCCGTCGTTCAAAACCGAGACGCAGACCATACGAAGGGGTAAGCTAGCTGATGCTGTCAAAAGTGTCGTTATAGTTCTGACAGATTACTTTGAGCTGGGTACCATGATCAATGAAGGAGGGCCAGTGGCTTCATCAGATGAGGAGAGTCGATGATGCTAAGGATGATACTGCGTGGCTGCCGGGTTTCTTGCACGTCTCTTTCTGGGTTTCTTGTGAATCTCAAGGGGAACCTTACTTAGGTCACCTCTTCTTTCCGAAATTCTGTCAGTCCTAGTACACACGACACGATTCTCAGCACGTTGTGTCTCCCAAATACACGTCTCAGTTGACACTAGTTCTACGATACAGGGGTTTGAGAGCCAAATGGCAACGTCTCCAATGCTAAGCAGACATGCTGGTATGCCGCACTCTGAACAAGATCGATATACTACCTCCAGCGAGATGTTCGTTACAGACACGGGTGGCACCGAACGCTCTGCAATTTCAACGTTGGCCGCACAATTGCACGCGTCGGATTCATGGAAGCTTTGCCAAACACTTTAAGCCGAGCTGAAAACGGGTCTGGAGACGTGTTCGAAGGCACTTAACGAAGCTGGCCTGAATGCGGTAGCTAATCCAGCAGCTGCTGCCGTTGCTCCCGCTATGAGGCACTCGCATTCGCACACAGAGCTGCTAGACGTTTGCACTGACTCAGAATTATAGGTCTATAGACTGACCTTGTCTTCGCCAACCGCGCCGTCGTCATCTTGTTGACCTCGGCATCCCGATCTAAGTATGACAGCGAAGTGTTGCGCAACTTCGCCGTACTGGAGCTCGCCGTACTGGGGCAAGTCGAGGACACCGAGTGGAGGCCGGCAACGGTGTTTACTCCTCGGGTAGTGATGGAAGTGATTTGGCTTCCCAGATTCTCGCGAAGAAGAAAGCTGGGGCTCTGAGCGAACAGAAACTATGGAGACTCTACGAGGGATGTTTCAAGCAATGCCTTGAAATTAGCAAGCTTGGACTGTCGATGGTATGTAACAAGTTAGGCCTTTTGTCTGTGTAAGGATCGATTGCATCTCATCGGGATAGCAGTGTGAGGTGTTTACAGGAGGCGGGATCATTGAATACCAACATTATCCATCCCCACGAAAACATTCACTCCGCGGCGCCGTTTATATGATTATTATCCCGGAGACAAGAGACGATCCGAAGCCAACGCCTAAGATCACTTCCAGCGCTTTTTGACTGCCTAATACTCCATGCGGCACTTCGCATCTCTATCTCCATCTTCAAAAGCTTCGCGGCAGCCCCTTGAGAAGCAGCTTCGGCCTGATGGAGCTTGGTGCGATTGAGTTTCTTGCCAACTCAACGATTTGCAGACGAGCTAACTTCACAGCGCGTGATGAAACTCCTTGACTTCGGGAATTCCATCGTTGACCGTCTCGCATATGCTGTACGACGCGACGAATGTACTCGCCATGACTCATGGGGAGATCGAGACAGGTGCTAGCTGGCAAGAAGGTCGAACACGTTGAGTGAAAAGCAGAGAACGAGCTCGCGGAACCACGACCCGTGTCCAGGTTCGGGCTCGGCCGGTATATCATCTCTCAGTCCGTCGTGTCGAGGGCCTGGTTGGACTCCTGCAGCCTTTGCCTGCGTTGGGATACACGTCACCGAATGCCCCTTTTCCATTTTGGCAGCACTTTGGCAGTGATTGCCGCACATGAAAATTCAAGGTTCCCACTCCGCCGTTCTAACGCGTATGTCACCATAGTTGAAGAGAGCTTTCTGTCGGTCTGACTGCGTCTCGAACACGTGCGTTTCTCTCCAAGCCTGAGTCCGAGAGGCGTATACGATCGGCGGGCGACTTGCCGCCTATGGTATGCTCCTATCTGATCCACTCGTGTGAGTAGCTCTCTGCCCCTTGCCATTGCACTTGCCCTTGCCGCAGACCTGGCTGAGGAAGGTGTTGCCGTCGAGTTGGCCGTTGAAGGAAGTGAAAGTGCCGTCGACGT